CCCTTTATAGTTAATAGCATATCTTCCATCATCTACACATTCTGTGTGCATGTTGTCTAACATCCTTCGAAAAGTCGCCAAGTCTTTGCTGAAGTTTGGACCATACGCCTTAACTTTACGCCAAAATGTGTAATTGAAGTGTTGATACAGTTTAAAATCAGCTGCGTTCAATTCCAATATTCGCTGTCGCTCCCAGTCCTCAATTTCCACACGTAGTCGGTCATTTCTCTTATTTTGATGTATGTAAAAAATGTCTTCGTATTTCCAGCACAGGAGTTTTTTCAACAGAATAAGCGATTCGTCAAAGTACTCAGTAATCATCACCAAGTCCAACTCCTTGGATGCCTGTTTAATAACATAACCAACACGAGTTGCGTTGTCATAATCTTCAAAATCAAGTCCAATATCAAATATTTGTCTATTTCTTAGCAATGTTTTGTGGTAAGGATCTTTTACACGCTTCAAATACTTGTCTGAGTTTGAGAGAAATATTTTAAATGCATCTTGAGTGGCGTTGTGATCAATGTTAACGTACTCAGCGATTTTGAAAAATCCAAAAATTGATTCATAAGCTGATACAGGATGACGTAATATTGTTATATACTTGGCATGAGGAATTACGTCATCGATCGATTTTTTATTGAACGGTACATGGCTTGCTAGTATACTGTAGTTGGAGCCTGGAAGAGGTGGCAACAACGACTTCTTCATTTTACTATTGAAACGTACTGTTCTTGAAAACCAGCCTGGGTTGTGTTTTGATGGTAACACAAACGACAAATTGTTACTAATCCCATAACGGAAGAGTATTGAAGAAATGGTCGTACTTGCTGTCTTGTACGTCTTCACGAATACCACCTGTGATAATGGATGAACACATTCTGATTTTTGTCGTTTATGAGAAGGCATAGTTTCTGGGCTTCGTATTGTGGAACTGCTTGAATGACCACCAGCTGACAATAACTCCGAAGTTCCTTTTAGTGAATTGTTTGAATGATAATTAACTGTCATCGTCTTTGAATGCAACCTACGGAAATAACCAACATTTACATACATTCAATGATTTCATTGATTTTTTTTATTATTAAAAAAAATACATAATTGTTGATTATATCACTTTGAACACATAAAAGAACGACCTCTCCAAACCATGATCGAAAACAAAATCATGGTTAGTAATCACTGTGATTGATGGTTTAATTTCGTGCTCTGAATACATTATAAATACGTTAATTAAGAGATTGTGACCCAGCAGATTTTGGTGTAACAGCAGATTTGGGTGGTCCGGCAGATTTGGATGGTTTGGGAGATCGAAACAATTTTAGTGGCCTGGAAGATGTGGGTAGCTAGTTTACTTTGAATTGCCTAAAAGTATGAGTGTCACAGCAAAATCAGGTGAACTGAAAGATATGAGTGGTCTAGAAGAAGTGGATAGCTAGGAAGATTTAGGTATCCTGAATGATTTGAGTGGTCTGAAAGTTTTTAAGTGTCCCAGTTGTCTCAATGAATTTTACCCGTGTCGCCACATTAAACATTAACCCAATGGCTGATGCACTGGGTCTATTAATAATA